AGAGAGAGGCAGAAATGATATTCTGGCCTTCCTCCAAGAGGTTCGTTCTTACAGTCAGCCTGCAAGACAGAAAAAGGATCAGTCATGGTGGCAGACGGCCTACATTCAAGGACTCTGGTTCAGCCGGTCATTGACGTCAGTCTGTGACGTCACAGTTCTATTTGCATACAATATTTTTAATGTAGGCCCTTTATGGGTGACCAGACGTCCCCGATTTCCGGGGAAAGTCCCAGTTTTATGTGACCTGTCCCAGGTTGAAGCCGTCCCCGGAAAAGTTACCGAGTTTAGCATTTTATGAATGAGGAAAAAAAAAAAAAGTTCCCTATTGATCGTTATTACGGTGGCCGGAAACTTCAGTGCCCCTTTTCCACCGGATCGGCAGGGAGTTGTAAAAAGCGTGTTGCGCGCAACAACAGCACTTACGGTAGCTGCTCACTACTGTTAACGTTACAGAGAAGAAGACGAGCATCGCAGCCAACCAATAAAAACCAAGAAAAGCAGCGCGCGCTGCCAGAAATGACAACAAGCTGGAAAAAGAGAGCTCGAGTTTTCACCAGCTGACCTGATTCGGTACGTGTGAAACACCGTGTTTTGTTTGAACTGGGCTAATCTTCGCCGTCATAAAGATTTGGATCAGTAAAATAAAGCTAAGCTTTTATTAACAAACACATCAAGACGACAAACAGCTACAGAATTAGCCAGAGTGAGAGAAATAGCAACAGCGTGATAAATCATCGCAAAGGAAGAATGTTTTGGAATTAACTGGTCATCATCGGGTCGTGTTTTTCCAAGTGTGAAGCAGTGCATAAGTGTTCCAACAGAGGGTGCTGTTGTTTTCTGTAATTGATGGCACTACCGCAATTCTGACATGTTTGTCCTGCCGGGGACACCGTAGTGCGGGGATTTTTGCGCGAGCTCTTGAATTCCTTACGGTGTGTTTACCGCCTGTAGCAGCGGCTCTGCTAGCCCGGTGTAAAATATACATTAATATACTAAGCTATTTCTGTTTGTTCAGTTTGCCAACCAAGTACAAATTACATTTGTGTCCTGGTGATGTTTGGTTATTTTGAAAAAAGAAAACGATTGAATGCTGACGGTGTGTTTACTGCCTGTAAGGTGGACGAAATAAACGCGCCAAAGTCTCCCACAACGAATCGCCTTGTGTCTGATTCCTTTCCTGCACGGAACACAACAAACACAACGCAGAGTCCATTGGGTGTCATTCACCAGCTGCAGGTTTAAAGATGTTCGATATGACTTTATACATAGAAAGTTTCTCACAATAAACGGAATCACTCAATGACAAGAAAACTGAACATGAATTGAAACTGATGAGGATGGAGAGATTATCTCTACTGTTGGTTTAATCCTATTTATTTATTGCTCAATAAATAAATCTTGAGTTTGTCATTTATGACAAACTCAAGAGAATCATGATATGAATGGTTACTAAGAAAGAGTCCAGACCAACCAAGTCCAGAAAGTAAAGGTGAACTCCAAGGTCAAGGTGGGCTTCATGTGACATGACCAAGGAGGAAAGCAAATAAGTAAAAAGAGGCTGGAATTTACCACAGAGACCTTTGGACAGAAGAGACAAAAGGTCCATCAGCTCTAACTACCATCATTTTAATTGAGCCAGAATCTATATCAGGTACTAGAACCATTACTACTGTGTGGAGAGAACGCTCCTGCTTAATAAATATGTAAACCATAACTGTCCGAGTTTCTTCATTTGAAACATCATATGAAACATCCGGTGACGTCATTTGAGATGTCTTGAAAGGAATTTTGACTCGTCAGCATTGAAGATATCTTGAATTACTTTTCTTACTAGCCACAATGTAAATAGAGATATCTTAATTTATCGTTTCGGACAGTGAAAATGTATTTTGAGATAAACAGAATGTAATTATGGATTGTCAAAAGAGCCGAATTTATGTTACAATGGCCTGCCATACACTAGAATTCAAATGAATGAATTCCTGTATGCCAAACTGAACTTCATTTCAGTGAAGTGCAGTAAGACCAACTGAGATATAGATGTAGAGCTATACCTAGAAATATTTCTCCTAAACGATGCTGTGATGCAGAGAAGAAGGTTAAGTCTATTTGCAGATGCCAGATAGTAAATAGATTGTCATACTAGCAATAAGCATTTCCCTGTTACAATGTTCTTCTGTCACAGGGAAAATAATGTATGTATGATGGCAAAAATCTAATTCAAACCCCGAATCACACGCCACAGATTGACGTCATGACCGTCTGAACCAATGTGTTTGAATGGAGGCTCGAATCCCTTTTCTGTCTTGCAGGCTTTGTATGAACAAACCAGGCAGGAAGGCTAGATTATCATTTCTGCCTTTACCCCTCTACATCTAACCCTCCATCTTTCTAGATGTAGGTTATATCATAGACTGAAGATGAGGGTTCATTGACAAGTCCAGCCACAAGAGATGAAAAAGAAAAGTATTAGTCCCCGTGCTTTTTTGTAAAGACATAGTCTTTACAAAAAAGCTACGAGGTGTGACCTTGCCACTCGAGGGGCCTTTCTTAAAAAAAAAGAGGCCACGTCCCTAATACTTCTCTTTTTCATAGCTTGTGGCTGGACTTGTCAACGAACCCTCTTCTTTAGTCTATGCTAAAGCCTATCTAAAAAGCAGATGTAGAGAGAGGCAGAAATGATATTCTGGCCTTCCTCCAAGAGGTTCGTTTCTTACAGTCAGCCTGCAAGACAGAAAAAGGATCAGTCATGGTGGCAGACGGCCTACATTCAAGGACTCTGGTTCAGCCGGTCATTGACGTCAGTCTGTGACGTCACAGTTCTATTTGCATACAATATTTTAATGTAAGCCATTTATGGGTGACCAGACGTCCCCGATTTCCGGGGAAAGTCCCAGTTTTATGTGACCTGTCCCAGGTTGAAGCCGTCCCCGGAAAAGTTACCGAGTTTAGCATTTTATGAATGAGGGAAAAAAAAAAGTTTCCCTATTGATCGTTATTACGGTGGCCGGAAACTTCAGTGCCCCTTTTCCACCGGATCGGCAGGGAGTTGTAAAAAGCGTGTTGCGCGCAACAACAGCACTTACGGTAGCTGCTCACTACTGTTAACGTTACAGAGAAGACGAGCATCGCAGCCAACCAATAAAAACCAAGAAAAGCAGCGCGCGCTGCCAGAAATGACAACAAGCTGGAAAAAGAGAGCTCGAGTTTTCACCAGCTGACCTGATTCGGTACGTGTGAAACACCGTGTTTTGTTTGAACTGGGCTAATCTTCGCCGTCATAAAGATTTGGATCAGTAAAATAAAGCTAAGCTTTTATTAACAAACACATCAAGACGACAAACAGCTACAGAATTAACCAGAGTGAGAGAAATAGCAACAGCGTGATAAATCATCGCAAAGGAAGAATGTTTTGGAATTAACTGGTCATCATCGGGTCGTGTTTTCCAAGTGTAAAGCAGTGCATAAGTGTTCCAACAGAGGGTGCTGTTGTTTTCTGTAATTGATGGCACTACCGCAATTCTGACATGTTTGTCCTGCCGGGGACACCGTAGTGCGGGGATTTTTGCGCGAGCTCTTGAATTCCTTACGGTGTGTTTACCGCCTGTAGCAGCGGCTCTGCTAGCCCGGTGTAAAATATACATTAATATACTAAGCTATTTCTGTTTGTTCAGTTTGCCAACCAAGTACAAATTACATTTGTGTCCTGGTGATGTTTGGTTATTTTGAAAAAAGAAAACGATTGAATGCTGACGGTGTGTTTACTGCCTGTAAGGTGGACGAAATAAACGCGCCCAATTTCTTTTCTCTCTTGCGGATGTTTGTGAGAACGAACCAGTGAGAGGCAGGCGAGATTATCATTTCTGCCTTTACCTCCCTCTACATCTGCCCCTCCATCTTTTTAGATGTGGGTGCTATCATAGACTGTAGAGAGGGTTCGTTGACAAGTCCAGCCACATGAGACGAAAAAGAAAGTATTAGTGCCTTGGCCCTTTTTTTTAGAGACTTAGTCTTTAAAAAAAGAAGTGGTTTGAGTTTGCCACTCGAGGGGCCTCTTTTTTTTGAAGACTACGTCTTTAAGAAAAGAGGCCATGGCACTACTACTTTTCTTTTTTGTCTCATGTGGCTGGACTTGTCAACAAACCCTCTCTACAGTCTATGCTAGAACCCACATCTAAAAAGATAGATGTAGAAAGAGGTAAAGGCAGAAATGATAATCTAGCCAGCCTCTAACTGGTTCCTTCTTACATCCTGCAAGACAGAGAAGGGATTAGTGTTAATTTTAACTCTTAGTACATTAGTTAGACATTTAACCCTGAGTAACACTCACTTTTATTAGACATTCAGTAGAAACTTACTTTGTCAATGATGGCACTGAATACCAGGTGGCCTGTTCTGTACTTTAATATCCAGAAATCTGGATGTGTTAAAAAGAAAATCTACTATATCTTATTACATGAACTGCATGCAATACTTTTTCCACCTTGCACTTTGAATAATTATACAAACTGTATTGAAGAAAAATGTGTTAAACATACTGTTATTTGTATTATTATGTATGCCCAACCTTTTGATAAGCTATCTTTGAATGAAAGCGACATGTAAAACATGAAAGTACGTTATTCCACGTTGAAAAATGTTTTCTAATTATGGGTCATGTTTTGAAATAAATGCATCTTATAAGATCATTGCCTTTTATTCCAGAGATTTTTTCAAAGTTCCAAATAATAATATGTCCACCTCTTTAGTAATAGATTCGATTAGTAATAATCTTAGATAGAGCTCTTATGAAATTGTAGAAGTGCTGTGTTAGTGACAGCACTCACTAACACAGATTCACATTCAGATACTGGATGTGAATCTGTTTGTCTGCAGTCAGGGAATACCATTATCAGATTTAACCGTACAAGAGGTTAAACTTGTTTTTTTTTAATCACTGACCATATTGCTTATGTTGCAGGTCCCGGGTGTCAGGACTACTGTAACAGTAATGATACAACCTGGAGGACAAACAAACAGGAGTCAGCAATGACGGTCATAGCGCTGTCTTTAGTGTCCAGATTGCATTTTTTATTGAACACACAAAACTTCCATATTACACAATATTAATGTTTTACACTGCCACTGGTCCACCTCCATCACAGGCAACAATGAACTTCAGACATCACGTCCCCCCAGATGAAGACAACCATGACACGAACCCCAGACAGGACAAATTAACACGAAGCTTCACTGCATTCTAACTGAATATCATTCAAACAAAGCAAAATAAATCTTCTCAAAAATGTAGACGTTATAATATAACGGCCCAATATGGAAACGTTAGCAAATAACGGTCCTACATTGAGACGTTGAGAAATAACGGTCCTGAGTGAGCCTGCAAACTGCTAACGTTACCCTCGCCTGATGAAGCTGGCAAAACGGTGCACAGAAACCGAGACTCAATTATATATTTAGGTCAATCAGTATGCAGACACCTTACAGAGTAGTTTCGGTGGGGTATTTTCACCAGATACTGACCTGGAGGACAAACAAACAGGAGTCAGCAATGACGACCGTAGCGCTGCCTTTAGTGTCCAGATTGCGTTTGGGGCAAACCGGAAGTCCATCCCAAAGCCAACCTGGAAGCGACTGCAACGGGTACCGGGTTCTGGACCCGTCAGCAGCAGCTGATAAAGCTGAAACACAGCATATGAGTGAGAACACGGGAGACGCAGTCTGTGTTCCTCCAATTTCTCTCAGCTCATATTTATTGAAAAAACCAGCTTATTTAACTCTCAATACAGCCCAATTTACAGTTCAGTAGTTGACTGTATATAGAATCTACGGAGACATAGCCCATCTTTGACATCACATTGACTTTCATAAAACCAGAAATAATCTCATCTCATCATATCTTCTCACATTTTCTTTCAGGTAACAGGTACCTTCCATTAACTGCACTTTATATGCATCTTTAATCACATAGTTACATATTTCAGAGGCGTGTATTTTACAGTTATTGTCAACTGGCATAACTATCTTTGGAATTTGAACTACTTAACTTAAATAAATGCATTAGATCATTGTTTAGAACACAAATACGGAGCTTGATAACGGTATTCATAATTTAGTAGTTGCAACCAAGTAACCAGCAATTATCCGCCGCTACAGTGTGCTAACCAACTGTTAGCAGTTGTGCTACTCTAACCGTTACTAGCTCCGAAATCACAACAAAACTCTTCCACTCGCTTTTACATATTGACGAACTTTCCTAAACATATTTAGAACAGTACCAAACAATAAAAAATACTTTTTTAACATTAACTTGAGGCTTGTTCTTACCTCAAACACAGCATATTAATGAGAACACGGGAGACGCAGTTTGTGTTCCTCCAATTTCTCTCAGTTTATGAAAAACCGCAGAGCAACAGGTAGCTCAGTCTCCCTGCGCCCCCTACTGGTGAAACACCATAAATGCACCCATTGTCATTAACCCGTTAATAAATTTGCAAATAAAAATTTCCTTGTGCAAGTAAATCACTTATTTATTAGTATGGAATATGTTCACATTTCTAAATTAATTTCTTAAAATAACAGCAAAACATAATGGTGTGAATATTTTCCTTGAAATGTAAAAGTTTTACATTTTCTTTCCAAAATAACATCATAAAATATGATTAAACAGAAGAGACATTTGTTTTTTAAGGAAAGGTGAATAATTTAATTTTGCAGCTATGCGAGCCAGATTTTATGCCAGTTTCAATCCACTTCAGCGACTCAAACCTTTTTGGTTTGAAATCATGGCAAAAACTGGAGACTAAAAGATTTAGACGTTTTTTTGTTTTAACGTCACAACAAACTGTGGCATGTCGAGGATATTAGCCTTTTTGTTTCAATAGCCCACAGTGTCAGCTAAGTTTTCTCTCACCCACCCCATATTAAATCCAACCCAGACAAACTCAGCTCAGTCGCATCAGTCCAGATTTCTCCGATGCAAATGTCGCAGTACAGAACATTCTGTCCACACTGCCGTGATTGGCTTTTGAGAGGCTGAAAGGCTTATTATATCGGCACGATCTTCTCTCTAGCCACACACACAAAGTAAAACTCATGCACACCACCTAGGGAAATGAGAAAAAGGTAAGAACTGATAAATGAAAAGCATAAAATGATGATGAAACTAAGAAACATAAAAAAAGGGGTAAGCCCTAATTTTTTTGGTCAGGGACTATAACTGCCAGACCAGCAGAAAGAGGAGGAAAATGAAAACAGACCAACTCAACTGTGTTGACACAAGTGGGTGAAAATAGAATGATAAGGAATTTGCTGCAGCAAGGTCAGAAAGATAGGAGAGATACTGATAGCAAGCTGATATTTACATAAAAATAAATATAAATCCCAAAAAAACTATAACTGGCTAATAAATAAGCAGTCCGAAATTATAATCCAAGCACCCTCCTTTAAAAGATTTTGTACGGATAAAGGAGAAAAGTCAAGACAGGGGCAGATTTAAATCCTCAGCCTGTGAAAATTCATTTTGTGCTGCATCCCACTGCGTCACTAGGATGCCTCCAACTGAAAAGATGGGTTTGTAACACAGACAGCGGGCCCCTTCTGTTGTTGAGGTGCGACTGCATGATTGTTCCACTCGACTGCAAGCTGTGGCAGACACATTTCTCCCGGGGAGACGGCAGCTGAGGCAGGGACGAACTGAACTGTTGCACCAGCAGGATACAGCTAAATAATTAGAAGAGGGAATCATTCAAGAGTTGCAAAGCTTCTCTTCTCAGTTTCTGTTCTGTGGCATTTTCACATGTTGACTACATCTATCGCTTTTCAATTCCAATTTACTTAGTGTCTCAGAAAAACCGCTTGAGACACAAAATGCAATAGGTCTTGCACTGCAATGCAACTTCCCAAACAAAACACACAAAGTTGCACGTAAGATTTAGGTCACATAAAAACAGGGTGGGTGAGCGAATTTGTATAAATAATTGTGTTTGTATTACATGGGTATATTTGAACTACATCGTCACCAGAAGGTGCACAACTGTCAAGAGCAGTGAGAACAGTGGAAGGTCTTGCAACCCGTAGCACCAGAAAGCTGCAAAGGACAGGTGGACCTAACCATGGAAGGCTACATCAGCTCCAGGTGGACAGACACAAAACCACTCCACAGGTCAGCCATAGCCATAGGTCAAAAGCAATAAAAACCTAGACTAAAGAGGAACAAGGTAAATGGAAGGGTGCAGTCCTCTTGACCCAGCCAAACAGTCATCTCTCGTTGTACAGCTCCAACTCAGGACCCAACAAGACACCCCAGCATCAAGAGGACCCCACTATGGCGGTCCACAGGAACACATAGACTACCCAATGGGAGCCCAATTCTCCAGGCATGGCCCAAGATCTACAGTGCATTAAAACTGAGCTGCAGGACAGCGCAAAGCATGGTGGAGGAAGGGGGAGATTGCAAAGTACCCCACCCCTCCCTGCAAGGCCCATCATCCCACATCCTAAAACCCTATTGGAAGGGTTGCATATGTTGTAGAGCAGGGGATGGGAACAATGGCACCAGTACAAGTCCCCTCAGGGGACCAGCTGCACAGTTGACCTGCCCATGCTCAAACCAGTACAGCAATGACCAAGAAGAATGATTTTCACTTTGTTGAGTTTTGAAAGAAATGTGTATTACACATTTTAGCATATACCTTTCATCAGAATTTTGTTTGCACTACCACTTTGAGAACTCTTCACTGTAATTTTACTACAGTGTTTGTCCCAGAGTCAGTTTATGAACCACTTGTTGTATAAGAGCTACTGTACTCGACCTTGACTGTTTTATGGGTCCAGCACAACCTGAATGTGTCTACATAGTTTTAAATATTCAAAGACTATTTAGTTGCATTGGTTTATAGTATTAGTAATTTATTTTTAGCATCCTACACAACTATCTGGTTTCCTGTTTTCCCATGATAATGTACTTGGTCAGGTTGTACCATGGCATCACCTGAAGGGATTTCAGATTGCAGGTGTTGCTGAATATGCCTTTCTAATGTTATCATATACACACATCCCAGCATGCCTTGCAGCAACCCTGCAGCCCTACATCAAATTGTAATGCAAGATATGCGGTATCGTGCGTCAGAGGACACAAAGTAATGTTTGACCCCAATTTTGATAGGAGGTTTTTAATCTAGTAAAATGGGAAAATGCTTCATAACACTGAGCATGCTGAGCTGGTGTTCAGTGCCTGCATGTTCATAGAGGTGACTTGGACGCTTTATGACCCTCTTCCTCACTCAGTTGTTTCTTTATATTTCATACAGTCTCAAGTGATTCATTCAAGGCAGTATTCCCATTCACTGCAGTCCATTGTCATTATTTTTCAGAAATTTGCGTAATTATGATGTCAGTGATACTGTGCCGATTATGCTTATGATTTTCTATTGGTCTGGTTGAATAGACTGAATATTACCAGACATGTTACCAGAGACTGGACTGTTATTTTTATCCACAAAGGGCAATTCAATGTCAGAGTAATGCAGTGCAAAGTAATGGAAATGATAAAAAAAATAAAAAAATACATATATATATATATATATAAAATAATCCACAGTTTCTTGGTTTCAGTGTTTACGCAAAATTTCAAAACAAAAATATGCAATATGATCTAATTACATTTGATTAAATCAGAAAAGCATTTTGTTGTGCTGCTTATAGCAGATAGATACGGGCAAGGTCTCTGCTTGAGTAGCTAGCCAGCATTCAGCTATAAAGCCAGCAAACTGGTAGATATCTTAATGATTTTTTTTAAACCTCTCACACACATGTTACCAGATGACATCTGAAAATATTTCAAAAAAGCTGAATTAGTTTTTATTAGTAAGGGAAAGGTGTTGCAGCTTTCTTTAAAAAGCTGATAGAAACTGTGATGTTTTTAACACGAAGAACAGCCAGAAATTAAATATTCTCTGAGTCCTCATATCACCTGGGGCTAGCCCTGTTTCTCAAAACCCAATATTTCCCCGCAGTGGAGAAATAAAAAAGGCAATTTAAATCTAAAAGAACATGGTTAAGTCAAAT